CTTTCTCGCTGATGCTTTTTTTTTTTTTTTTTTTTCATCAAAATAGAAGCTGCGGGGGCCCAAAATATAATTCTTCGCTTGAAAAAGTTATGCTTAGATGGGCGTCGGCGCATGAAGAGATTTAGTTCTTCTAAAATATGTTTTGACCCAGGTAACTTTGTTTTGACCCAGGTAACTGTTCTCAAACTTTCGCGTGCTCTCCCATCCGCTAGCGTGACAATCTCACTGAGTTTGACCGTCCAGCGGTACATAGTTTATTAACCAGGGTTGAAAAACACGGTTTGTATTTCTCGGACACTCCCGGTATATTAGGTTCCGCAGCATAATAACGGCTTAATTTAAAAGCTGGTAAACGTGTTGTAAGTCAAGCTGTGTGGTATGCAAAAAGGTGAGAACTTTTACATAGCCAATTATCATCCGGTATCAGTTTTTCGAAGTTCTTTTCAAAAGCACAGAACAAAGTTAATGTAAAAGAACTTATAGTTGTGCTAGTTAATGAACGTCATAAACCACGGTGTAAGGTGCAAAAAAAAAAAAAAACCACGAGGAAGAAGGTGCATACTCTGGCGTGTGTGAGTTCTTTCTTGTGTCTTGTTTTTGTTTTTCGTCTTATACACAGTATCTCAGAAAGAGGTATTGTTTGAACCGGTTTAGTGCCTTTGAGTATAAGCCTAACCTCTAACTTAATTCCACTTTTGTTTTCTTAAAATAATCGGCACGGAATCGAAGGTACTAATCCTGGCTGCGCTAGAGGCTTGAAAACTGGTTGTTTGAGTTTTCGTGGATTTCATAACGTCTTCCAAAATAAATCATACATTTATGATTCAAAGACATGAACTATACTCTGCTCGTGGAAAGGCTGTATATTAGATTAGGTGTTATTTATGTGATCATATTTAAACTGTCTATATCTAAAATAATCAACTGGAAGGGAAATGGATCTCTGATACACTTCTTTTCCAGTACGGTGTTCTACGGGGTAACCATTCTGGGTTCTATGCTTCTTAGTACCGAGCGTCAAATGTCAAATTTGGGGGTTTTACGCCCCAACCCAGCGGAGGACTGAGGATTCATTTCGACCAGCTGGGGACCTTTTGACATGCAACCGAAAGCTCGGTTACACGGCGCCTTCTCCGCAATAAGCCTCCGTCAGATTGCGGGCACCTCGGCCGGGATTCGAACCCGCCACATGGGGATCCGTAGGCCGGCGCTCTCGCCCCGGAGCCACCGAGGCGGCTTCAAGCGTGTGCACTAGATGGTTCGCAAAAACGGGTTTCTCAACCATGACCTTTGGCACGGTCATGTACTCTGCGATTTTTCGTGCATTTTGGTCCGACCTGCCCAAGGGCTTCGCTTCTGAGAAGAAAAAGCGAGCCGAATCAGTTCTCTAGATGTCCGCATACGGCGCTAATAACCAAACCAAAAACGGAAACTGATTCGCTTTAAAGCGCACTCTCAAGTGCGAGCTCGCTGCATGAAGCTTTCATTTCCATTGTCCTCCTCTTCAGACTGGGGAGGTGAATCGATGTCTGTTCATTCATAATTTTTATTTGCTGCTCGGGTCTTCGCGCTCCTTCGCCGGAGGGAACCTCAGAATGCAGCATTTAGTGCGAATCGATATTTGTCATCTGAGTATGCATTATAAAAAGGGTATGTTCTTACACCCCTTGTCAGATATACGGCAGCCCGAAACTGCAGTTCGACGTACAGCACGCTGACGTCAAACTAACTGCCCCAACCTTTGCAAGAGTGTTGATGACGGTACGATATAATATATTAAACAGCTAAAATACGTATCAAAGTCTCCAGACCAAAAAACAACAAAAACAACAGAGGTTTCACAGTTGAGCCAAGAAAACCCCGATAACTTTTTGTTCAATCAGTCACACTAAGATTAGCTATTTTATTAAGTTGTACAACTCGGCTATCAAGCCGCTCGTGAAATCTGGTAGCGTAAGAGCGATGTCAGTGCGCTGAACATCCAACTGAAATTTTGGGGTGTCGTATATGTGACAAGGAGTGGAACAATATACTTCTTTTTTTTTTAGGGTCTACAGTCTGAGTCGGCGAGACAGACATAAATATATCTTTGTCGGCATGCATGACAACAGCTTTCTAAACTTTAATTTAGTTCACGAACATTTGTTCTACACCTTTCACGCTTGGAAACGATTCTTCATATTTCGGTCTGCTTCTCGCTTGCCAAAGGTCCGTGTGCTGCGGCGAAGGACGGGGCACGTTTCGCGCTGCCTTTAATCTCCTTAGACCAACGATTATAGTGATCATAATAATTCGCGGATATTTTTGTTTATTTTTTCATTTGGTTGCGAGAACCAGCAAGCGCCCCTGAGCCTTTACCGGTGAATGCAGTGGCATGTGGGCGCAGCCAGCAGGCGAAAAATCTCGAAGGCCATGCTGTGGAATTAGGGAAAGGACTCGTTGGTTTTTAGAATAACAGAACATGGTTTATTGATATTGAAAACTAATTTAAGCAAAGTTAGAGAAGGCACGTCCTCCTTCGACTGTCGTTCCAACAAGAAGGGAGAAGTCGCCCCACCAAGCGTCGGTCCAAGCGGGGGGCTCGTCGTTTATGACCCCACGGTGGGGCGCGCTCTCCCCGCGGCTCTCCGTCCCTCTCCCCGGTTTCCCGGAAAGGGGCTGGTGCCTCGGTTTCTGCTCGTCTTCGAAGTCGCTCTTCCTTCCCTCTTCCCGGCTCGGGCATCTCCACGTTTTCCTCTTTTTATTTTACAACACATTCCCCCCCAAAATGACAGCGTCATTTTTTGTCCCGTTATGCGATCTCTAGAGGATACAATAACTGTATGGGTCTTTTGAGCGTTGACCCTCCAGGCATCTTGAGCAGGCATGATCGTACTTTGCCGTCTCTTCCCGGAAACACCTTCTGGATCCTAGCGAGTCTCCACTGCTGTCGGGGCCGCAGGCCGTCATGGAGAAGAACCAGATCACCCTCTTCCAGCAGTTTTCCCTGGCGTTGTTTCTGGCTTTGCACGTTCCTCAGTTCCGCCAGGTACTCTTGGCTCCATCGGCGCCAGAAGGCTTCCGTTATCACCTGTCGGTGGGTCCAAAACCTGCGGAGGTCGGTGTGAACACCTTCGACATCTTTCCTCCCCATGCTTGGCAGCGTCGTCAGTCGTCTGCCCGTCAAAAAGAAAGACGGACAGAGTGGCTCGGGCTCTCCGGGTTCGTCGTAGACGTGAGTGAGCGGTCTCGAGTTCAATACCGCCTCGATCTCGGTCAGTGTCGTTTGCCAACTCGTCGAAATTTAAACATCTGGCACCAATCGCTTTCTTTAGTGAGAGCTTCGTTGATCCGACGAGGCGCTCGTAGAACCCGCCCCACCATGGGGCGCGCTCGACGATGAATTTCCACTCGATTCGTGCGTTGGTAACGTAACCAAGGACCTCGGGATCACGAATAGCGCTCCATAGTTGATGGAGGTCTCTGTTGGCTTTCTTGAATGAGAGTGCGTTATCGCTGTAAATGGTCCGAGGGACACCTCTTCGTGAGATGAAACGTCTCAGCGCCATCAAAAATGACTCGGTGGACATATCTCTGACGAGCTCCAAGTGAATCGCTCTCGCTACGGCACAAGTGAACAAAGTCACATAGGACTTGTGCAGTCCGTTTTCTCTTTTTACCAGCAGTGGTCCTGCAAAGTCGACGCCAGTGACTTCGAAGGGTTGAGCCTGTGCCACTCGGTCTCGTGGAAGCGGAGTGGTCACTTCCGTCGCCGGACGGGCATTGAAGCGCTGGCACGTCACGCATCCCTTGATTATCTTCTTCACCAGTTGCCGTGCTCGCACCACCCAGTACCTCTCTCTGAGCTGGACCAGGGTGTCCCGAACTCCCCCGTGTAGCACCTGACGATGCGACTGTCGGGCGAGCAATTCTCCCAAGTGATGTCTGCCTGTGAATACGCTGGGGTGTCGTTCAGTGTACGGCTTGTCACTCTCTTGAAGCCTACCGGTGACACGGAGAATGCCGTCATCACCAATGTGCACTGGGATGTCTCGTAGAGGGGAGTCCGATGGAGGACGCTCCCCTTTTTGTGTACTCTCGATTTCCCGTTGAAGCTCTTCCCGATGTGCGTGATGTATCCAGTATCTTTCGGCCCGACGCAGTTCGATGGCTGTAAGTTGACCGCTGTTACTTCTTACATGCCGTAGCTTGCCGACATAGCGCAGAATCCACTCTGTCACCCGAAAGAGGCGTGCTGCATCGCTGTAGCGTTCAATGTTCAGCACCGAAGGAACTGCAGTGGAGCTCGTTGCCTGAAAAACCTCAATCGTCCTTCTCTCCACCAACGCGATCCTGTGGTTTCTGCAGTTGAGCAGCAAGCCAACGAGGTCAGCGATCACGTTCGGTCCGCTCTCGGAGTTTTGGTTTAGTGACCTCGACTTGTTGCCATGCGATGAAGCGTCAAACACGATGCGCAACCTCGTCCCACTGCTTGAATCTCGGAGCACCACTTGATGTGGCATGTAGTAGGTCGGCTTCTGCTCGTCGACGTCGTTCCTCGTTACCGGTTCCGCCATTCCTTCCGAACAGTACTGTCTCATTACAGCGTCGTACTCGCGAAGCAAGTCCGGCGTTCTTTGGAGACGGTTCGTCAGCTGGGTCAGTCGTTTTTCTGCTCTTTCCTTGTTGTCGTCGAGATTCACGTTTGGTTTCCAGGGAAGAGCAACTTCGTATCGGGAACCAACTCGTTTGATGCTCTCCTTGAAGGAGTCTAGCTGCCGTTGTTTTTCCGAGTTGTCTCCTTCGTCTTCAGTCACTCCGATTGACTCTTGTGTCCAAAACCGCTCCAAGCAGTCTGTTGCTTCAGCCTCTGCCACTGATGTCTTGAGGGCGATCGTTTGCGTACAATGTACGTCGTGAACTGTTGCTCTCACGGGGCCCTGGACACTCCATCCGAACGCGGTCTCGACCGCTCTTAGTTTCTCTTTTAGTGGTTTAAATTTCCCCGTCACAAGGTCCCACTAGTGCTCTGAGCCGATGAGAAGGTCAATATCACCACGTTGCTTGTTTTTAGTCGAGTCGGCCATCTTCAATTGCCCGAGTAGTTTCTTCAGGTTGGGTTCGGGGATAGGAATCTTCTGATCGCATATCACGTCCGTTTCAAGAACTTCAAGTTTATGTATCTTGCCGTTTTGTGCCGTTAATGAAACCAGTACCCTGTTAAATACTCGTTCTGATTGATGTCCGCCGAATACTCCGACGGTCAGTGTCTCCTGTCCCAAGGTCTTGCACTCGAGACGTTTGGACGCGTTCTTTGTAATGAACGAACGTTGGCTCCCTCCGTCGAAGAGAGCTCGGACGAACATCCCGTTGGTTTCTCCTGCACACCAGATCCTTGCAGTCTGGAGGAGGACAGCTGGCCCGGCAGCTCCGCTTGTGTCAGATTCCAGATTCACTGGAGCGCTCGTTATCGCGTTTTGGTTTGCTTCTACCTTGGTTGGCGTGTAGTCTGGGTCGCATATCGTTGTCGCATGCCGTCTCGAACACTTCGTGCATTGCATGCTGCTTCTGCATTCATTCGAGCGGTGATTGGGTTTCGTGCAACGGAAGCATCGTCTCTCCAAGCGCAGCAGTCTTTTCTTCTCTTCGATTGAAATGTCAGCAGGGCAGGCAGCTGTCGCGTGGTTTTTTTCGTTGCAGAAGAAACAGCTATTAAGTTTCGTTGATTGATGCAGTAATGCTGCGGAGGATTGGTAGCGTTCTCTGGGACTTCTCTTTTTCTCGTTTTTCTTCTCTGAACTGAATCCACGCGGCTGTTGCCTCGTGTCCATAGCTTGTTGTGCAGCTAGGTTCTCGCGGATCTGGACTTCAACTCTCAAAAAGGCAAGCAGTCGTGAGAATAGTGTCACGATACCTCGTTCAGTGGTGCTTGTCTCCGTCGGTCGTTCCTGAGAGTCCTCGGATCTGGTGGACATCCCTCCGGCTGAAGCGTCCAGCGTCGACACGTCCGATGCCTGCTCCTTCACGATCGTTCTGTTAAAATCCAGCAGAATTTCCTTTGGCAGTGCATGCTGAACCACAGGAAACAAAAGAGCACCGAAGGTCTGATGCCTCTGTCCGAGTGCCTCCAGTCCTCGGAGATGGGAGATGATGGTGTCGTAGAGTCGACGGAGACCCCGGACGTCGTCGGCGTCTCGCACTGGTTGTAGATCTAGGAGCTTCCGCATGTGTGTTTGAACGAGGACGTCCTCATTTCCGAAGCGTTTCTTCAGCAGAAGCACGGCGTCCTCGTAGCACCGTGATGTGGGAGGCAAACCCCTGATGTCACCTGACGCTTCTCCGGTCACCGCAGCCCTGAGGTACCCGAACTTGTCCAAAGTCGTTGGCTGGTCGTTGGTGTGTATTACTTGCTCGAACTGCTCCCAGAACTCTTGCCAAGAGATGCTTTTGTCGTCGAACTTGTGTAGCTCGAGCTTCGGGAGCTTCACTCGGCAGGCAGTCGTTGTCGCGTTTCCGTTGTTGTTCATCGGCGATGAATCCAAATTTCGTGGTGCACCTGCTCGGACTTCCTTCAACTCTTCTTGAAGTGTTGCAATGCAGGTGACGACCCGATCATTGTATTCAATTGTTCGCACAAAGTTCTGCTCGGCTTCTCCTTCCGGCACTAGTGGCTCGATGGCGGCGTCCACCTCGTTCAGTTGTGCTTGGAGGGCGCCAAGCCTTGCGGAGGAGATGCTGAGGTTCTTTTCGTTTTTCTCGTTGCTTTCGATGTACGAATCAATTTCAGAAAGGAGATTGGTCACTTGTGTTCGCAGTGCAGTTCGTTTCCCCTTGAGTCGTTCCATGGTCCGGAGCTCGTTTCCTCAGCCGTTGGCAAATCCAAGATGGCTCCTGCCTTCTTCTCGTTCGTTGTTTTCACTTTTCTGTCGTTGGATGTTCTGCGTTGAAGTCATGTCCTAATTTCCTTCATCCCGGGTTTCGGCACCAACTTTTTAACAGTGTGGAATTAGGGAAAGGACTCGTTGGTTTTTAGAATAACAGAACATGGTTTATTGATATTGAAAACAAATTTAAGCAAAGTTAGAGAAGGCACGTCCTCCTTCGACTGTCGTTCCAACAAGAAGGGAGAAGTCGCCCCCACCAAGCGTCGGTCCAAGAGGGGGGCTCGCCGTTTATGACCCCACGGTGGGGCGCGCTCTCCCCGCGGCTCTCCGTCCCTCTGCCCGATTTCCCGGAAAGGGGCTGGTGCCTCGGTTTCTGCTCGTCTTCGAAGTCGCTCTTCCTTCCCTCTTCCCGGCTCGGGCATCTCCACGTTTTCCTCTTTTTATTTTACAACACATGCACGGTCATGACGTCGTCTGCGAATGCCGTGACAAGTAGCCGGGAAACAGGTTTATACATGTATTTTTGGTGGGCTAAGCTCGTTCTTTGATATGTTTGCTCAATTATTCCATCTCGTAGCGCACCAGTGTGGTAAATCGGAGTGCGATACATTGAGAAAACGTTTTTCGCGGACAGTCCGTAGGGGGTTCGAATCGTTAGTGTACATGCTATATATATAAATGATGTTTTTAGTATAGACTCATATGGTGGATTTATCATTCACACTCACGACACCAACACATTGTTTACAAGAAAATTAAAAAAAAAGAATTATTTGTGGAACCGTACCTAAGGATATAAGGAGTGAGTGAATGCGTCAAAATAGCTTAAACATATTTACGAACAAAGCAAAAGCAGGATTATTTCGGTGTACAAAACAAGAACATTATATTAAACAAGCCAACATTGCTAGATGCAACTTCTATTGCTCATGCGTCCAGTTCCAAGGTAGTAGGTTTCGTGTTTAAGAAATATTGATCCTGGGATGCAGATTTTGATTGCTTAGTTGTGAAATTATCTCAAATTGCCGGACTTCTTTATTGCAATAGACACACACTGCGTCGTCATATAAAGATTTTAATCCCTAACACTTTGTTTTCATTTATACTTAACACAGTCAGTAAGCTTTGTCATCCACAGCAAAAGAAAATCGACATAGATTACGTATTCTGCAAAAAAGGTTCCAACTAGTTATAGATAATTTATCAACTTACTTCCACACCCCTGAATTGCTAATAAGATATAAAGTATCACTAACTACAACAATGTGCGTCTGAAGGATTTCTGAGACTTAAAAAATCACAGTAACCGTTTCCAAAAGAAACACCAAACTTCCAAAGTAATATTACAGCAAAAGCAGCATGGGCGTGCGGCAGTTATGCCACAGAGACGACGAAGAGGTCGGCAAGAGCGAGCGCTGAGCTCGGGACACGCGCGGCAGATGTCTCTCGAGACACCAACGGAACGGCTCGGCGGCGGCATCGGGCGATGCGAACTGCAGTCTCATTCAGCTTGTAAATACTTGAAAATATATCCTTGCAAATTATAGTGGCTTTATATATAAATATATAAAGCGGCAGTTTGATACTTTAGACCCATGTTACGGATAAAAAAAAACAGGAAGCGGGATCGCCAAAAAAAAAAAAACACGCTTTTCGTTTAAGGCTAGTCAAATTATGAGGCACTGGAGAAATGCAACCTCCCGCGTTAAGTCCTTAATTCAAACTCTTTTTGTTCGCCTTCCGCCCATTGAAAAGCATGCGGGAAGGGCGTTAGAACGCAACTGGTATCGCTGCGCCGCAGCGTTCTTCCGCAACATAAAGTTCGTCTGCTTTCCTCGCCGTCACCATGGCAACGAACGCCGAATGAATAGAAGCACGCACGGTACCGCCGCGTGAAGCCAGCAACAGCTGACGACATTTTACGAGCGCCGTCTGCTAGCCAAAGCCGAACGCGGTTTGTCAGATCAACCGCATCCGCCGGTGCGCCGCTAGCAAAGACGACGAAGCTGAGGCACGCCGATGGCGATCGAGCAAGCAACAACACCGCGGGACGACTGCAACGGCCGCATTTATTCGGATCAAAGGCCGCCTTCGCCGGTGCGCCGCTAGCAAAGACGACGAAACTGAGACACGCCGACGGCGATCGAGCAAGCAACAACACCGCGGGACGACTGCAACGGCCGCATTTATTCGGATCAAAGGCCGCCTTCGCCGGTGCACCGCTAGCAAAGACGACGAAGCTGAGGCACACCGACGGCGAATGGGCGAGTAACAGCACCGCGGGACGGCTGCAACGGCGGCATTTATTCGTATCAAAGGCCGCCTTCGCCGGTGCGCCGCTAGCAAACACGACGAAGCTGAGACACGCCGACGGCGATCGAGCAAGCAACAACATCGCGGGACGACTGCAACGGCCGCATTTATTCGGATCAAAGGCCGCCTTCGCCGGTGCGCCGCTAGCAAAGACGACGAAGCTGAGGCACGCCGACGGTGATCGAGCAAGCAACAACACCGCGGAACGACTGCAACGGCCGCATTTATTCGGATCAAAGGCCGCCTTCGCCGGTGCGCCGCTAGCAAAGACGACGAAGCTGAGACACGCCGACGGCGATCGAGCAAGCCACAACACCGCGGGACGACTGCAACGGCCGTATTTATTCGGATCAAAGGCCGCCTTCGCCGGTGCGCCGCTAGCAAACACGACGAAGCTGAGACACGCCGACGGCGATCGAGCAAGCAACAACACCGCGGGACGACTGCAACGGACGCATTTATTCGGATCAAAGGCCGCCTTCGCCGGTGCGCGGCTTGCAAAGACGACGAAGCTGAGGCACGCCGACGGCGAATGGGCGAGTAACAGCACCGCGGGATGGCTGCAACGGCGACATTTATTGGAATCAAAGGTGCAAAATAACCAAGAACAATTTTTATTTGAATCATAACACGCGATATCGAAGTTGGGGACCACATACCTTTGCTGTGCCTTTCATGTGAACTTTTTACAGAGACACGGGGTGGCGCATTCAAAACACAGCTCCGTTTGCAAAATATGGGGGCCCTGAAAAGGGCCGTCTAGACCGCTACCAGAACCTATAACTGGCGTGACGAGCACTTGACGAGCGGTTGGCGCATAAGTCGTCTTTATGCACACAGGCGGGCGACGGGCTTAGCGCAGCGGATCACTCGAAGTCACCGAGGCCGTCAGAATCCTCGTCCTCCAGACTATAGGGAAGGTCCCTGTCTGCGTCGAGGCTGTAGAGTTTGGCGGCCGCGGCGACAAACGACTGGAATCTATCAGTGTTTCCCCGCACCTTCTTTCTCCTCCAAAACATGAACTTTGCAAGGCGACCAGTGAAATGGGGGCTCTGGCGCCGTCCAGATGGAAGAGATTTTTTGACGTGGGCCCAGGTGCCCTCCGGCGTATAGGTGTGCGCACCAGTGTTCGGGCCGACAAAGTGCAGCTTGCGGTTAACGGTGAGGTGCGTGAAGCGAGCGTCATCTGCAAGCTTGCGATAGCCAGCCCAACAATCAGTGATTATCCCTGTTTCAGGGCGGACCCACTTGGCTATTAGCACTAGCAGGGTTTTAGCGTCACGGGTCTCCTCGGGAACAAGAAAGCAGCACCCGCTTCCACGCCCCACACCACTGAAAACCCACTGACCAGGCCTTAAACATCCGCGATGGTACTTTCGCCGCCCGAACATGCTCTCGTCTAGTTCTACAGTCACGCCTTCGCCGCCGATCATCTCTGAATGCGTAAAGACGGCATTTACCACAACCTTTCGACAAAGGCTCGTCCAATCAGTTATTGTCTTACATGCGACATCAGTCTCCGCTGATTGACGGCGCACGGCAGGTTCTGGCACCAGAGGTAGATGATCTCCATGAGTTGGGGAAGCGTCAGGTGCGATCCTTCGAAAAAGGAACCGCTCCGTACCGAGACCTCGCCCCGGCACTGAACCTTGACCGGCTTCCTCTTGGACACCTCACGAGTCATCCACACACCGCATCTCCACGAATAGCCATCCGCAGATCTAGCGCGTCATCGCAGCTTCGCACTCTGGGCACGCACGAGAAGCCAGGAGCAGGCCCATGTCCTGAAGGAAATTAATGGCTTCAAGAGGGTCTCTCATGGCGTCATGAAGACGGCACAAGTTAAACACCATTGCACTGCGACGCTCGCCTCTGGAAGAATTAAGCGTCGAGGGGGCTAAACGAGCAGAACTGCGCGCTTCTTTACATTTATTATTTTTATTTGATCCGCCATTTTATACCTCGTGACATCATTCTAACAAACTCATTGGTGAATCGGTTGGACCATGTCATCGCGTGACAAAACAAACGCCAATCGTACGACCAGAATGGTTGCAACGGTCGGCATCGTTACAGATGTATACGCCCTCACTAGATGGCGGGACCGACCCGCTCTGCAACGACGGAGCCGACTCGGGAACCGCACCCAAAAAGGTTGCTGCCATTCCGGCCGCTTGTGTTAATAAAGTGTTATTGTTATACGGAACCCGAAGTATTCGAAGTACATAACAACTGGCGACGAGAAACGGATGGACGACAAGCCGGAGAAGCCGCCAAGCAGCAGCACCACGGGATGACCCGGTAAGAATTCTACACTGCGTAAACTTCCGCGCGTGAATTCCGAAACTATAGAAATGACGGCTTTTGGCAAGCTATAAGAATGCGACAATAAGGAGCCCTGGTTATCCTACACGGAAAGAGTTGACGCGTTCTTCAATGCAAACGGCATCGAAGACGACGAGAAGAAGAAATGGATCTTCTTATCAACCGTCGGGACCAGCACTTACGCGACACTCCGGAGTCTGCTAGCTCCTGCGAAGCCAAAAGAAAAGAAGTACAAGGACCTCATGACTACCTTGAACAGTCACTTCAGCCCTCCACCGTCCGAAATCGTCGAGAGTTTTCGCTTCAACACACGAGTACAGCTC